TTTATGAAAAATATACATCAAGTAATGCGGGCTTTATAAATAATTTTATGAAGTCGAAACTTATATGTAATTTAGTTGCTGATACAATAGCATATCCCTTGAGGAAATTTCATGAACTAGCTAGAAAGTCAAACAGATCTTGTTATTCTTGTAGAAATTTAAAATTATCTTTTTATTTTTTGGTCATAACTGATGTATGTTTATTATCTAACTATAATTATTCTACGAGGTGAATTGCCTCTTATGTAAGTAATGACTTATGAATCACACTTTTTACGTTCAGTCCTTAAGTTATAAAGCAGGGCCGTATTACCCAGCATGCCAACCATTCGCTACGTCCACAAGCTGAAAAAGCGATCGTAGCAATACCTGTGCTAATAATTGAAACTAAACGATGTTTGTCTTCTGCTAGCAGACTGCTAAGCATTACTATCATTAGAAAGTTATGTGTTTATACATCGACAACCATTCTAAGGGTTAAATTTTTAATAAAATTATGAGTAGTTTGTACATATTGTACTCAGGCATGTTCATTAAAAAAAGCAATGAAATACATTGGATACTGTGTATTTCTTAGAGTTTTTAGCTGGGGCCTGATCCTCGAAGCGTATCGTATGAACGTGTGTAAATACTGTGTGAACACGCCGGTATAGGGCTAACGGAGCTCTCTGATTGGTCAGAGGAGGTCTGTGTTGACTACATTGCAAACTAATAAAACGTATCACGTATCACACAGTACACGGACTTGTGTTGAACTAATACTCAAGCGCTTATAGTGCTTGTAGTACAAATTTTGTCCTTAGTTATTCACATAAAATTGTACCACTTGAGACATTGTATTAGTTCTTGATATAATAAACACAGAACCTTTCGTGTATCTATCGAGGTACTGTGTTCCTATAGGTATCAAGTAAATGTCGCGAATATTGTCTTCTGCTGTGCCAGACCAATAGTTCTTGCTTTTCCCTTGGTGGCGCTGCTTCAAAATTGTGCACGTAGCGAATACTATCGTGTGGGATCACCAGGTTGACAGGGGGTGGCAACAAGATTGATAGAAATTAAAAGTTTAATTTATTTCTAAGATTCACAAATCATGAGTTTGTATTTTTATGGTCAACTTCCTCGTGTTTTAGTAAATAACTTCACCATAAAATGTAATGTCATTACCTTGCATTAATAGCAAATAATTTTTTACGCGTATTACACATACAAATATCGCTCGCCAATACAATAACTTAATTCGATACAGAAATAACCACGTAAAATACGTAACATTGGAATGCAAACTAACTTAATTTTTTTTTAATGAACTTACTTAAATACATTGCGAAAGTATTTGCTTAGTAATAAGACCAAAAATGTAGACGTTCAATAATCAAGTCATAGGTAACAAATGATTGGAAAAAACTAATTAACTTAAATATTTGACTGAAAAAAATATTGTATTTTAATAGACAAAGATTTTTTTTTAAATCATAATGCAAAAGATACCAATTCTTTAAATGTGTTACCAAAATATATAAAAGAGTGTACTATTTTCTTACCATAGGATCAAAGTTATCCACAAGCAAAAAGTATGATCTTGCACCCTTGGAACGACCAACAACTATAAGGTGGTGAAATTAAAACAGAGTTTGGCTTGTAACTTTACGGCCTATTTGTAGAATTACTTTAAAAGTATTCGTTTTATACCTTATCAAAGTATGCTGCCACTCTAATTTTGTATTTTTATCTAGCATACTAATAGATTTGTTCTGAAACCTTCTTATAAGTTATCAACCAAGTTTTGCGCTAGAGCTTCTTACTCACGACATACGAAAAATAGTAGAAAGACGGATAGCATTACATTTTCTAACTAGGTGTAAATGACCTAACTACTGCGCACGCACCAATTACTGCGCACTCGACGGTAACTGAAAATAAAAAAAACAGACTGAAAAATTTGGGTGCTTGGATATTGTAACACGTACAGACATTAATACCGTTCAATCCAGAATCATACTTTACATCATGACATTTATAATTTTTTAACTGAGTGACTCTAAACAAATCTAATCTACAAAACTTTGTAGTCGTTCGTAGTGATTGGTGCGCAGCAATTAAGTCTAGGGCTTCAGTATGAAAACCTTATGGGAGATACCCGCGCAGTAATTGGGGGCGCAGCAACTGGTGCTAATTTTATAACCGTGCGCAGTAATACCAGCCAGTGATATCAACACTTAAACAATTATTTAAAAAAAAAAAGTTACTTAACAGAAAAATATTGGTCGTTTTAATCGCACAAGATGCTGCAGATAAAGATTAAGTAAAACTGGTTCAATTTACATCTAAAAACATTGAGAAATGAGAAATTTAGTACAATCAAAAATTTCAGTGCGCAGTAATTGGGTCATTTACCCCTATCTGATTTTTTGTTTTACTTCTTATTGTCTTAGGTAGTCATACAAATCATAAAATAGTGCAACAATGCTTTTTTGCTGTAGTGGCCGTTTTTCTAAAAGAATATTATAAAATTTTAAAGTAAGTAAACAGATCCAATTGTAAATCTAATTTACGACGAAACGAAAAAATAAAAGTTAGGAAATAAAGCATCATTTCTGGTCTTGTGCACTATTCCAAATCAGTGTCCTTAGCAACCATCTTTAGAACTGTTGGCTTCAAGTGGAAAAGAATAGTATTTAGTTTTTTTATTTAATTTTTCAGCTGATGTGGTATCTGCTTCAGTTATGCTAGATACTTATGTAAGTTCATTCGTGACATGTAGTTAATATACATTATCAGCATCTTTTTTTTTTAAGAATATGCTTATCATAATCATTCAGAAAAGTTTTTTCCTAAAGTTATAACTATGATTGAATAACGTTTTGTAAAGTCTGGTCAAGGAGAAGTCCTGATTTGAGAATTATGTGATGAAAATCTCTTAATTACAGGACTATTACATATTGTTTGTGCCATTTTTTTAACTTCTGTAGAAAAATAGAAAATAGCTTAATTAAAGCCAAGGACATGAGGCATACCGAAATAAGTACTTATTTTTTGCTGTTTAAAAACTTGATTATTCAACTCTCACGTAAAGTGCAGTGTGATTATAAATGCTTTATCTTTTTCTCTTTCTTATTTAAACGTGCTTTAACACTATTAGAAGATTGATTGTATTCTTAAAAATTCTAGTGAAAATCAACAAAGAAGTCTTATATTTTCATACCTAAGTATTTGACATAAAATACTTTAACTTTATCATGACACAAATATGTTTTTACTAAAAAAATAAAATAAAAAAATAAATGTTCTAAAAGTGGTGCTATAAATACCGTGTTTTTATCAAGTAAAAAATTTCTTGGTTCTTGCTAGCCCAAATTTTTTTGAAACTTAACTGGTTTCTACATCATGCAGTACATAGTGACTAATAGACTCTAAAGCTAAATTAGACGCTTATTAGTCATAATAGATTATGAGTATTCAGTTACACCCGATATATGTATACATAAGACAGCCACGTTCATCCAGATAGTCACACCCGCAAACAGACACAGATACATAAGTAGAGTCATGTAACTCGGTTTTTGTCTCACCCGCACGCAGCTTGAAGGATAGGGAGAAGAAGACGATGTGCATCAATAAGCTTGACATTATTCGGTAGCCAACGACCAAGCTCGAGTCAAGGGAGACGGTGGGGGTGATCCGAGTATTGCCGATGCTACACAAATTAATAATATGTAACGTCATTATACTTCTGACTCTCTTGAGAATTGGTCGTATATATTTCGCTAATTTCAGTGCTTCACCAGTTAAAACGCATACTTAATTTGCTCTTATTTTTCTTGCTTGATTGTCTCGTTCTCGGTCAATCTCGTTCAAGGGGTTTATTTAGAATCACGCATTTGCGATCGCGTCTCGCGGCGTCCTCGTGGACAGCGTCGTCTTCGTAGACAATCGACAACATTCAAAGTTCCGGCGCCACGCTGACGATCACTGGCTCTGAGTCATCTACATCCATTCTATCACCAATCGACCCGGTGCCATCGCAAGGTTGACCGTGCACCGTCGATCAACGGCTCAGAGTCGTACCACCAATACAAATACACATTCACACGTTGTCAGGCTCATACCTTTTGTTTTCATTATTTGTACTTAATTAATGAACGTCTATTCCAACTTTTATTTAATTCATTTGTATTCAGTATTCGTAGTTTGTTTTTTAATAAATTGGGTTTTTTTTTGCCACAAGGCTTTTTTCTCACAATCACATGTTTTATTTATCCAGAATAACCCTTGAATATTTAACCACGAGGCTTTGACAAATCGACAAGGTCTCGACGACTCATTTTGGTGCCTCCTGTGAGGTATGAGCCATTCATTCAAATTAATTTAACAACACAAGCTCAAACAAGTGAAGTAAGAGCCGACAATTTTGCTGGTACGCCGCACGGGCGATCCAGGCCATTGGTTGTCTCTCAAGGACATCACCTGTCATCATCAAAGTGGATGCCACCCACTTCCAGCCGCCACACATGCCTCCAGGATCGACTATCATCGCACCGAGATAAGTACCTTGTTACGTAAGAGTTATCTAAAATTGCAGTGCTTACATCCCATTTGATTTTGCATAAATTATAGTAAAGACATTTGCGCAATTTCCTGCCATCCGAGTAACCATAGTATTTTCTTTATCTCGTCCTTGCCGTTACATTAATATAAAACACGAGAATTCGGAACTTTCGTCCCAGTTGTGCGCGATTCCAGGAATTAGGAGACGCTCGTGCGACAGCGGTTGATCACGCTCGAGCCCGAGTGGGAGAGAGAAAGAGATAAGACCTCGTACGACGGTTGGCTGGTCAGCACGTATAGTCACGTATGGTCAGAACGTATAGGGTTGGATAATCGGGGGAACCATAAGCGAGGGCGAAACCACGTCAGTAACTTGTAACTTGATTAATCTTACACAGCAACTTGAAAGGTTTTGGGAGATTGAGGATATTGATTCGAAATCATTGAAAACGGCCAAAGAGACAAAATGCGAGGCCCATTACGTTGCTCATACAACTAGAAATTCAAACGGCCGTTATATAGTGCGTCTGCCTTTCCGACAAGACAGTAGAATTTTCGGTGACTCGCGGTCCCAAGCTCTGCGTCGTCTCAACTCCTTGCAAAAAAGGCTAGATCAAAATCATGAGCTCAAATGTGAATATGAAAGGGTGATGCAGGAGTACATTTATTGTGGCCATATGTCTCTAGCGCACGACGAGACTGTAAGTGGTTACTATATGCCCCATCACGCGGTAACTAAGGCGTCAAGCTCCACGACCAAGGTGCACGTTGTGTTTGATGCGTCTGCAAGGACCAGCAAGGGCCTGTCTCTCAACGACGCATTAATGGTTGGCCCTACTATTCAGCCCAAACTTTTCGCGCATTTACTTCGTTTTCACACTGAGAAATTCGTTATTACAGCCGACATTGCTCAAATGTATCGTCAGATACTTATTCATCCCGAATATAGACGATTTCAACGAATTCTGTGGTACCATGAAGGCGAAGTCAAAGTGTTTCAGCTTAACACAGTTACTTTCGGCGTGTCTAAGGCCCCCTTTCTCGCTATCCGCACCATTCAGCAACTCGCAGACGACGAGGGCGCGAATTTTCCATGAGCCGCCACGGTTTAAAAAAATGATTTATATGTGGATGTTTTTTTTAACGGGTGCGGACTCAATTGAAGAAGTGCTCCAAATTCGAGATTAATTTATTTCAATTTTAAAACGCGGAGGGTTTGACATTCGGTGGTGGGCCTCAAATCATCACAGCGCGTTAAATAACATCGAAGAAAAAATCGTTGATTTGGATTGTATTGTAGAGGAAAATCTGGTTTTGAAAAAATAGGGCATCGGATGGTACTCTCAGGACGATAAACTTTCATATAACGGAAGCCGCATTAACTTAGCCGAAAAAATCACGAAACGCCTAATTCTCTCTAAAATCGCCGCGATTTTCAATTCCCTGGGTCTTTTGGGGCGGGTAATTTTGTTTGCCAAGGCATTATTGCAAGAATGTTGGAAACTCAAGACAAATTGGGATGAGTCAATATCAGAGCAATTAAATACAAGGTGGGCCGTATTCTCAAATAAGTTTCCGATTATGTAAGGTCTAGATATTTATCACCCACTTTTTATCAACGACCTAAAACGCGTAGAAATTCATGGTTTCTGCAACGCGAGTTTGATTGGATATGGCACATATTTCTAGATTAAATCAAGCGATTCTAACGGTCACGTGGTTTTTCGCCTTGCCTGCGCGCAGTCCCGAGTTGCTCCTTTAAAGCAAATCACGATACCAAGAGTTTAGTTGTGTGGGGCGCAAGTTCTTTTACGTCTGTATAAAAAAATGAGTCTTTCATTGAATAGATCCGTGGACAGGGTAGTATTCTGGTCAGACTCTACGATTGTACTACACTGGCTTCATAGGTCTCCGCAGTCCCTTTAAACATTCGAGGCTAACCGAGTAGCCGTATCACAAGCTCTAAAAAACAACGTAGAATGGCGACACGTTTGTACAGCCGACAACCCCGCCGATGCACTGTCACGTGGCCAACTTCCTTTAGATTTTGTGCAGAACAAACTGTGGTTTGAAGGGCACCCTTGGCTTCAATTATCAGATGATTCGTGGCCAGCGAGCATAGTTTCTGCCGTCTCAGATTTGCCAGGGGTAAAAAAAAAAAACGTGTCTCGCATCATACAGCGTTAATTCGGATATTCTTTCTCGATTCTCGTCTCATCTTACTTTGCAAAATTCAATATCCAATTGTTTGCGGCTACTTAAATCTAACTCATACAAACACGACGGTAAAAACATTAGTCCAGCCGAAAGGATCGCGACGGAAAAGAGGGTTTGGCGAATTATTCAGTTTGAACAATTTGAAAACGAAATAAAACGTATCGTTGACAAGAAAAACATAAAGCATAGGTACTAGAATTGCCACGCTTAATCCCTTTGTTGACAAGGACGGGTTGCTTTGCGTTGGAGGACGATTAGTTAATGCTGAAATAGATTCAGACCAAAAATTTTCTATTCTCTTCCACCCATCTCTCTCTGTTACCACCTCGCCTCTCACCACCCCGTTACTGACCTAATAATTCGTGAAATGCACTTAAATTCTTATCACGTTGGCATTCAGAGCACGTTGTGTACAATCTGACAACGCTACTGGCTAATCGATGGAAAAAATCAAGTGCAAAAAATCGTGCGTCAGTGCGTTACGTGTATAAGGCACAAGCCAAACCCGGTTCAGAGCAAGATGGGAAATTTTCCCAAAGCGCGCGTTGGTTAAGCCTTTCCATTCGAGCCTGTACGAGTTGATTTTTTTGGCCCCCTATACATTAGGAACAAGAAATATAGGAACCGCGCGAGAATTAATTCTTACGGCTGTGTTTTTATATGCATGGCAACGAAGGCTGTGCATATCGATATCGTTAGCGATCTAACAACGGACGGATTTTTAGGCGCTCTGCGACGATTCATCGGTAGCCGATCAAGACCCTTGAATATTTACTCTGACATCGGGTCAAATTATATCGGCGCAAACCGTTTAATCCACCCCTCGCACCACATTTTGGCGGCATATGGAAAGCGACGGTGAAATCTTTTAAACACCATTTTAAGCGTGTTATTGGCAATCAACTACTTACGTTTGAAGAATTAAACACATTTGCAATAGAAATCGAAGCACTTTTGGATTCGCTACCCAAATGCTTGCTCTCTACCGATCTGAACGATCCCGACGCAATAACACCTGCTTATTTTTTAGTCGGTCACCCTTTGACGATGTTGCCAGAATGTAATTTTCTTTTCGTTTCAGATAACCGCCTGTCCCTTTGGCGATTCATCTCAAAGGCTCGACAACATTTTTGGAAGCGATGGCACGTTGAATATCTAACAGAGTTACAAAAACAACAGAAGTGGCTCGAGGGGGTTGAAAACCTCAATTCAAATACGATTGTACTCATTATCGACATAAACGTTCCCTGCATACAGTGAAGGCTGGGAGTTGTGGTGGAGGTGCATCCTAAAGATGACGGAATCATTCGAGTAGCTACAGTAAAAACGGCTCAAGGCACCTTTCAACGCAGCGTGACTCGTTTGTGTCCTTTGCCGGTCGATTAAATCAAGACATTTACTTTCAAATAATATAATTGAACATTTTTTGTAAAACCAAACACACATTCATTACACTTACACCTTTGCTCGCTTTCTCTCGCATCGCGGGGAGAATGTTCAGTTACACCTGATATATGAATACATAAGACAGCCACGTTTATCCAGATAGTCACACCGACAAACAGACAAAGATACATAAGAAGAGTCATGTAACTTATTTTTGTCTCACCTGCGCGCAGCTTGAAGGATAGAAAGAAGGAGACAATGTGCATCAATAAGCTCGGCATTATTTGGTAGCCAACAACCAAGCATGAGTCAAGGGAGACGGTGGGGGTGAGCCGAGTATTCCCTATGCTACACAAATTATTAATATGTAACGTCATTATACTTCTGACTCTCTCGAGAATTAGTAGTATATATTTCGCTAATTTCAGTGCTTCACCAGTTAAAACGCATACTTAATTTGCTATTATTTTCCTTGCTTGATTGTCTCGTTCTCGCTCAATCTCGCTCAAGGGGTTTATTTAGAATCACGCGTTCGTGATTGCGTCTCGCGGCGTCCTCGTGGACAGCGTAGTCTTCGTAGACAATCGACAACATTCAAGGTTCCGGCGCCACGCCGACGATCACTGGCTCTCAGTCATCTACATCCATTTTATCACCAATCGACCCGGTGCCATCGCCAAGTCAACCGTGCACCGTCGATCAACGGCTGAGAGTCGTACCACCAACACAAATACACATTCACACGTTGTCTGGCTCATACCTTTTGTTTTCATTATTTGTACTTAATTAATGAACGTCCATTTCAATTTTTATTTAATTCATTTATATTTAGTGTTCGGAGTTTGTTTTTTAATAAATTGGGTATTTTTTTGCCACAAGGCTTTTTTTCCACAATCACGTGTTTTATTTATCCAGCATAACCCTTAAATATCTAACTACGAGGCTTTGACAAATTGACAAGGTCTCGACGATTTAATGAGTGGTCTTTTATTAATTATAATTGAATAAGGTCTCGTGACTTAGAGCTTTATAAACTGTGTGGGCAAGCAAAATTGTATTATTGCTGTATGAGAAAAATAATAAGTGATTATGAATCTTATATTAATCATTCATTCTCATTTCTATAAAAATGAAACTTTTTGTGATTTTAAAACTACTTTTTATTACATAAGTGTCGGCAATAAATATCACTATTTTTACCATTACTATATAAAAGTTAGGAGTCCACACAATGTAACGAAGGATTATCCTTATTATTTTTAACTTTATTTTACAATCTGAGAAAATCGTTATAAATATTAAATTTTTAAAATATATGACTCAGGGCAGCAGATTAATCAAAAATAGAAGTAACTAATTTGACCTCTAAATATACAGTTTTCTCTAAGGTTGAGACTGACGCAACGTACTTATAATAATACTTGTTGAAAACGACTTTTACCTACAGTGACATCGAATACAATATAACAATACTTGTGTATACAAATGTTTTAAATTATTGACACTTAAATTTCTGGACTAAGTAAGCTACAAACTTCAGACAACACACATTTTCTCTCAGTTATAAGCGTACAATATTTTTGGTTGTTCAGTAGAATATCAAAATACCACCATATCAAATTTTTTGAAATACTTAAATAATTTAAAACAGTTTTTATTATTCCTACTATCAAAACATTCATGTTTAATATCCTTAAACGCAAAATTAAAGAACAAACAAATAGTGTTATAACTGGAACTTTTTGAATCATGTTGTATCTTACAGTTTTATCTATAATATGCTTATTTTATGCAGGCGCAGTCATTATGGCACTTATTATATTAATGTAGTCTTATTTGAATATATTCGTTTACCTTACTCCACTGATGATTTTAGTCGACACATGTCGTTATAATATTTTTTTAATCATCTACTAGAATCTGAAGACAACACATTTTTAATGTTATGCATTGGACAATGAAATATTTAGTACTTAACAAAATAGTCAACATCAGATTTCGACGATTGCACTTCTGAACGATGAATGAATTGAATTAGAATGTAAAGTTTATTTACTGTTTAACTGATTTACTTTATATTTAGAGCAGAAGAGCAAAAAAAACTAGGGAAGTCGTAATTCTTTATAACAATACGATATTTAGCTTATGATTGAAAATTTAATCCTTTTTAAGGGTGTTATTTATAGCACCCTAAACTGTTGACTTTGACGGGGATACACGTCAT